TCAATATGTATTGGGTTTTGTTCTGGGTTGGTGGTTTTTTTTCTTTTTGTAAGTTCTCATCAGAAAGTATCTGGAGTCCTGGTATTCGGCCCTGCCAGTTTTGAGCGCAGGGCCAGCTGTTAGTTCCTTATTACATGGGGGCTAACAAGGAAGGAAACGCGAAAGAGTAAGATGGCAGGAAAGCCGTAGCATCTCGCTGGTGATAAGGCAGCTCAAAAATAGGTTGTGACAGCTGAACTAATGATGTCACCGATGCTGATACAAGTGGGCTGCTTCTCATTACGATTTCTCTGCCAGACATAGTGACACTCACCAGCCAAAGCATGTCTCGAGCAGATGATATATAGAACAAATCATAGGAAATGTGGCGCAGGACATGTACAAAAGAACATTTGCCCGTTTTTTTGTTTTATTTTACAAGAGCACAATACTCTTGTGGATGATAAAGGTGTACAGGTCAGGCTTAGCCTTGCTGGACTACTTTATCAAACCAGGGTCAGAGGGCTCTTGTTGTGACATTTGGAGATAAGCATTTTGGAGGTAAATGAGTTGGAGCAGTCTGTGAGGAGATCAGAAAGTGCTGTGTAGCTTCAGACCTCATGTATATTGCAAATCCAGTGTTGGTAGCCTGACCATTGATGTGTCCTTTGTACGGTACACAGTGTATTAAGACAGCGATAGATAAATAATGGAGTTTATTTGTGAGAAAGATACATTTGTTGCCCAGTTTTTTACCATAGATTTATTCACGGTTTATTTTCCATGGAGTTATTTTTAATAAGAATGGAAAGGGAGTTAAAAATTGTTTGGATTCAGATTTCATTGTGTTGTTTATGCTGTTGTGAAGGGAAAATGCTATATTAGCTTTCAGCTATCAGATTTGATTCAGATAATGATACAGCACCCTAATTCATAGTCTCTACTTCAGATATTGAGTTTGTCTGTGATAGAGGCTTTTTCAGAAAACTGCTCTGACCTGATAAATCATCCAGGGACAGAGACAACGCGCACATTAGATGGCATGGAAAAATAGGCTAATAATGTGATTGCATAGGAGTACTCGAATATTTCAATGCATTTGTGTTGATAAATTATCATTTGTTTTAATGTTCAGTTAGTTACATGTACCCTTTTTAGCTGTTCCGCGTGATCACAATGATTTGCTAGCTGTACACGAATGCTGGAGTTGGTTGCTTTTCCTGTTTTGATCACAGCCTAGGCAGTAAAGGCCACTAGACATTAAACAGATAATAAATCATATGGTGTCCTTGCTAACCAACGTTACAGATTCCCCCGGGTCTGAACTGAACATCTTTCTGTTCGGCTTAGTGCAAAGAAGGAAAAATTCTATTTGATGTTAGTGTAATATTTTGAGACAAAGTCTGGTGAGGAATTTTTCCAAACTGCCAAAAATAAATCTCGCCAGCAGAGTTCTAGCTGATGGCTTGAGGCATATGTATTCCTGACTTCTGTCTGGTTTTTGTTTTTTTTTTTTTTTACTTCCCTTTTGTTGTGGGCTGTCTAAAGTTTTGATGCAGTTTAGCCATGGAAGGAATTATGAAAGTAGCCTATAAACTCTTTCCAAGAGAGGAAGAAGAGAGGAGAGAAAAAAAAAGATGGTGTGATGAAAGTGCTGTGCCTTGGTGTGTGCAATTCATCCTCTTACTTGCATGGCATATGGGGTTGCGTTTAAAATACTGGAGCAAATTCCTTGCAGTTACTTTCCTTATCCTGTCAGCTCGGTGAAGGTAATGGAAGGAAGATGCTCCATCTCTGTTGTTCAGTTGTAACGGATTTCAAGTTATTGCTAAGATTTCAAGTTGTCAAAGCATTTTACCCTGTTAAACTGTGTGCTCTAATGATCAGTGCCTCCCGGGATTGCCCCAGATGGATTGCTGTGGTGTAGCCGATTGCTTGCCAGTGGGCCTGAATCGCTTTGAGCTGCATTCTCCTCTATCACAAAATGTTTTAAAAACAGTTTTGCTAGCAACAAAAGCTGCTCTTTAAATCAAGCACAACACATGTTCCCAGTATGGCACGAATTTTGCTTGGTAACGTTTTGATTGCTGGGATGAGTGTTTAGCATCCTGAATTTGCTAAGTAAAGGATGCGTGGGAATCAGATTTTGTACTTGAAAGCTTTTCTCCCTTTTTGACCGCTTGACCAACTGTTTTCTTGGCTTTGGGATGCCCTTTCTATTCTCATTTTTTCCCCCCTGTTTCTCTCCCTCTTCTCTGTGCTATAAGCAACCACCAACAGCATCTCTCATTATTAAAGATGTATACGAAGACAAAGTCCTGGCATAGTTTATATCCTGAAATAAAAAGTGCTGCAAATCCTGTCTTTCAAAAGTTAGTACGTGTCAGACGATGCCGTTCGATAGCAGGCTCTTGGCTGGAGCTCGCCACACAAATGGAGAGGAGCAGGACATATGTTCTGCTGCCTCCAGAGCTTGCTGTGCTTTATTTCACTGGATACCATTGCGGTGCTTTCTCACCTGCCGATGTACCTGGGGTGATTTCTGATGCTTATGCCGTGTGCTTAGGCAGTGGGAATAACGCCCTGCTCTTGAGAGGCGTGCGAGCAAGAGACTTGGGGCTGGTCTGGAATTACACTCCTGTATTTCTCCTTTCAGTTCTGACGTTGGTTTGCTGTTTGGCACCAAACTTGTCACTAAATTCAGAGGCAATACCAGGGACAGAAGCCCTAAAACTGATGATTTCCTACCAGCTGAGTTTTTTATTTCAAGAAATGTTGCTTTGCTTGGATGTTATAATTTTTCCTGATTTTAAAAGGGTGGCAGTATCCTGACTGAAAATCTAATGTCTCTGTAATCTCACTGTGCGTTAAAACCTACCATGCCAGATTTTGGCCCTGAACGTGGGCGCTTATTTTGCCATGGATGGTTATTGTTACTTTCTTCATTATCATCAAGTTACAAAGAAAACACGTTATAAAATGTGCACAGCCCTCTGGTCTCCCGGAGGAGTCAGGAAGTGGGGAAAAGCTGCCCAACCTGCCAGTTTGCTTTAGTAGAAACTTAATTTGTGGATGTTCGTGATATGTTCTTGCCCAGAGAAGCTGTGGACGCCCCATCCCTGGAGGGGTTCAAGGCCAGGCTGGATGAGGCTTTGGGCAACCTGGGCCAGTGGGAGGTGTCCCTGCCCATGGCAGGGAGTGGGACTGGATGATCTTTAAGGTCCCTTCCAACTCAAACCATTCTGTGATATACAAGGACAGTATCTACCCTTTTTCTGTCCTAAAGTAAATGGCAGAAAATATCAGAAACCTTTAGGTAACTTGACAGAAGTGTTGTTTGTTTTGGTGCCGAAGAGGGAGCTTATAAAGCTGCAATATTATCTTTAACTTGATGGGGATTAACTGTATGTTAGTGGAATAACCGTGTAAGAAGTGAAATTTGGGTGATCATTTGTCTTGGATAGCTTCATTTGCATTTGGCCCCCTAAGCCATTTCTCAGGGAGTGGCAGAACTCCTGATAACTCTTAGCTCTCTGCATGACTTGTCATTTAAATGACAAAAATAACTTATCTCAAAATTCTCCTTTTCCTTCAGGAAAATCAGATTAAATCCAGGGCTGAGGGTGTTTTGGTGAGTGGTTTAATGTCCAGTATGGTGCATGGCTCTAGATGTAAAAGCAAACTCAAAGATACTTTCCCAAGTTTTTAAGGTCACCTTCTTTTCTGAAGGGCCCAAGGCTTTAATGGACCTTTTTTATACAGAGAAAATACTTCAAAGCCCTCTTTATGACCTCTTGCGTGAGGTTCAGGACAGCTAGGGGACTGTGGCCTGTGTGAAGCTAGGAAGATTTTGTCGTTACTTAAGCAGTTTGGGACCGTCCCCGTTGTGAGCAGTATTCTCAGAGCATCGTAGGACTCTTGGTCAGAGGGGACATCCAGAGCCTAACTAGATCTCACCTGGCCCTAAAAATGGGTCTTTAGCACCCACACTAGGTCTGGTCAGCTGTGCCTTGGAAATCTCCAGGGGTGGGGAATCCGTCTTCTTCCTTGGTAACCCACATCAGTGCTGCTCTCCTGGATGATGCAACATCATGTTACTGTTCTATACCTCTCGTGGATTTATTTCTAGCTGTAAGTGTACTATGAAGTCGCTGCTTGTGCCTCGTCACTGGAGTGCCGCAGCAAAAATAGGAGTCCAGCTTCTTGACTGTGCACAAATAATAGTGTCCTCTGCGAAGTTACAGGATCTATTCTTCAGGCATGCACATAATGAGAATTCTGAGAATCTGTAAGTGAATTAGACCGAAACTTGCTTAAAAGTGGAGCCACTGAGAATTTTATGCAAGATAGATATACCTTTGTTGTCCTAAATTGTCTTGGTTGCTAAGTAAATATGTGCTATAAAATTTTAGAGTGATTCTGTGGGTAGTATTTTAGTGAATCTTGTAGCTCTGTGTTGAAATTTGGAAGAATAGATTTTGAGTTATACAGAAATGAACAAATAATAGTCTCTTCTTCAGTGTGGCTATCTCTAGTTCTCTGATGGCTGAAGTCAGAGCACTCTTGAGAAAATAATAAGTAAAATAGAACTTTTACAAAATGGCAACACTGATCGTCGAAATGATGGTCCAAAGTCATCTTCCTTTAAGCCTAGCTCCCATTTGTGGAAATTCCTCTCACGTAAGTTCAGAGGTGTAGCTGCTGTTTAGGTAGATAGAGGCATTTACTTCTAATCGCATTAGTGTTTCAGCTGAATGGTGAGACTGAAGGCGTTCCGTGCTTACCCAACATCACTACAGTTTTGTTAATACTGTTTGCAACAGATACAGGTATATGTCAAACTGGAAATGCAGACTTGTTCAAAATGCATTCAAGGTGTACTTTTATTTTAATTAAAGCTTCTATAAAATGCAATCAGGATTAAAGTAGTTTTCCAGAACCGAAAACAGTGTTAGGAAAAACTTGACAGCGACTTGTCCTTTCAGATTTTTCTGAATAAATATCTTGCTTCTCTCTTCTAGGACCTGCGCAAACAGGTAGCTCCATTGCTGAAGAGTTTCCAGGGAGAGGTAAGAGCTTATCCTTTTCATGGTGCTTTTGATAATTGCTTCACGGGAGCCTGGTGTGCTGGCAGTCTTTCAGTGTGGCCGGGTGGGTATGGAGCCTTTGAGCAGAGAGCATTGCAGGGCTTTGGCCCTTCTGCATTTTGCCATGTGCAGGATATGTGTGTAATACTCTGGATTTGTGCTGGACAAGCTAAACTGGTCAAATCACTTTGCATCAGCATACCTGAGCATAAACTTCCCATTGCAGTGACTCAGATGGCACACGCTAACTCGCTATGCCTCGGTGACTTGATGGTTTGAACGCTTGATGAGTGCAGTTTAATCTATGTGCACAAAAATATGAAGATGCTACAAACAGTTTTCGCTGTAAACTTTTTCTGCTGTAAAACACTGTACTCTAGAGGGCTTGATGGAAAACCTGGCGGCTGTCTGTTTGTAAATGAACAGAAAGTGTTAACAGCTCTGGTCCTGGCTCTTACTTTGATTTCTCTTCACACCGCTCCACGAAGAAACACACGATTAGAGTGATCACAAGTTTAAAAGCCAACTGTTGTTATTTTGAAGAATTTCTATAGCAAAAGGCAGCTACTCCAATTACAGAATTTTACATTTTAGCTGTGGACAGCACGTGAGTGCTTAGGCCAGATGGGAGCTGTTGTACTGCCTCTAGGAAAATGCCGTGTATGAAGTTTGCAAATTACATTTCACTGTATAAAGATCAGTGCCTGCGCGGGGTGGTAGATTTAGGTTTTAGCTCACGCTCTGTCACACGTTGTAGAGCTCTGCTCTTAAAGTCAGCTGTGTTAAAGCAGCAACACTTATTATTTCTCAGTCTAGAAGTCATTGGCTGATTTTATGCTGTTGCAGTTCCCATCAGAGCACAGAGAAATTCAGGACTGTGTTTTGAGAAGTCTGCATAGAGAATTAGGTTCACAACTCCTGTTATCTGTAACGAGGGTTGCATTTCTGATTACTTGTACATCCTGATAAATGTGTCCCAAATAGACAATAATTCCTCATGTTAAAAGCAGCATGATATTTTTTATTTTATAACGCAATTTCCCAAGTATTGCTAGAAATAAATAAATAATCAGGACAACTTTGTCCTCGATATATCTTATAGTAATTTGTGAGAACAAAGAATGACTTGTGTGAGTCTGTTTGCCAGTGGAAATTTACACTTTAAAATGCTCTGAGTGGATTGCAGTGCTCTTAAAAAACCTTTTCACTTTAGTTTCAAGCTTGCAATGCACTGACTGAAAAGTGTATGTGTGCTTTCAGCACTGTTCTTTAATGAAGGAAGTGTCTGAAGATCAAGTAAGAATCATAAATCCAAGTTTGGCTACAGTGAAGATTCTCCCATTAGATCTTGCCTGTTGGAGACAGCTCGTTGTTACCTTGGTAGGGCTCACGCACACTCCTCTTCTGCTGTTTTGCTTCACTAGCATAAAAGTGAAGTTTATGTTGGTATGAATTCAACCTCCCAAATTACAAGAGTAAAATTTGTTGGTAGAATTCCCCTCTTATGTAAATGAAGCACAAATACATTACAAGATTGTGCAGCTGAATCTCTTAGTGGGTGATTCCAGTCTCCCTAATCTAGAGAGGGTTTTAGAAACCTAAAAAAACCTGAACTAATTATGATTGACTATATATATGCAGAACATTAAACTGTGAATTGTGGTATTTGATTATAGATGTAGTTTCTGTATCCTGTTTTGGAGATAAATCAAAATACCAAGAATATTAGCCTGTTCTGTTGAGTTCTGTTTTATTGTTCAGTACATAGGTTTGCTCTCTGTTTATTGTTAAATCTGACTTTATGAAAGAACATGAGATGAATGCACCAGGTAGCTCCAGAACAAACAGTGTTAAGCACATGGGCTTTTCTGCTTTTCAAATCCACTGGAGGTGCCTTGTCTTACACTCCCCCCAGATGGCTCAGCAAGCGGTATAGCTGGGGCAAGACCCCCGCCCCACGAGCTCCATAGGATTGCTTTGCATTAGCGTGAGTGTTACCTGTTAGGAGATACCTAATGTCCTGGGAGGCGGTGGCAGAGGGACTTTGGAAGATGAGCGGTCTGCTCATAAGAGGTTCCCTGCTTCTACTGCAGAGATTTGTGTTCAGCCCCAGATTAGGATATTCAAAAAAAACCCAAAACCCAAAAACAACAGGAGTAAGTAAATGAAGCAGAAGTAAGCAGAGAAGTAGTGAAAATAGATGTTTTCTAGAGTCCCCTCTGCTGGAGAGAGTGTCCTGGAGCAGCAGGTTGGGAATGCTGTGGGAGTGCTCTGGTTCACACCTCTGTAGGTGTTGCAGATGCTGTTGCTGAGCTTTGGAGCACCACCTTCTCACCAGTTTCTCATACGGAAGCTAGGAAGAAAGATTGTTGCATGATGCAGCTTCTCTGTTTACCATCTCCACCACATTTTTGCCTCTGACTTTTCTCTCCACCCCTGCTGCTATTGCCCCATCCTTTCTTTGATCCCTAATGACAGAACTAAGTAGGTGCTTTTTGCATGTCCGAGTAATATTAAATTACGATTCTGCCTCAGAAGGGAAGCGGGCTTTTGTAAATCCCATGTGGGATGACTGTGCTCCACAAGGCTCTGGGCACTAGGGATGACCAGAAGATCAGAAGGGACAGACGGTTCCCTAACCAGCAAAGGTATTTAAGTAGCTTTACATGGATATTGCCATGTTCCTGCCTACCTCGGGGCTGGCTCCCCATCTCCTGCTTTGCCTCACTGCTTCTGCTAGTGTGATCCTGCGGTGAGCACAAAGTTTTCTTTTTTTCCTCTTTTTTGCTGGCTTAGTTTTCTGCCAGGTTGGTCCACTGAAGCAGCTCACTGCAGGCTCGTGCTGGGCAGGGGAGAGGCCAGGAGAGCACAGCCAAGGGCAGGAGGAGTGCAGCTGTGCCAGCTTAGGTTGGCTTAAACTGTCCTTGAACTGTACCCTCAGCGGGCCTGACGTGACTTGGAGAGAGGTTAACTTAAGCTTGAATATTTAAATATCCTCCCCACCGTGCTTTATGGGACATCTGCTTGTAAACTTGTGGCTAGTTCACTTTTTAAAATAAATCCACAGGTGGCTTAAGACAATTTTTCTTTTCAGTTTGAGCGTGGATATTCATACCTCCCCTTGCCTCTGTATTTTCCCTTTGTAGAATATAAATTCAAAAATACCCCCCCAACCAGAACATTCTGTATTCCATGGATATTTATCTTGTTCATTCTGATGAAAACTGTTCCAGTTATCAAATATGCAGTTTCCATTAGTAGCTGGAAATAACTTTTTTTGTATAGATCTTGGTGCTTTAAGTAGCTGTATTTTTTATGATGACAGTTAAAGTAAAAGCATTATGAAATGGAATTTACCATGCTACAGATGCATTTTAAAATGCATTCCTAGGTCAATGTGAGACCCTGTTAATTCATCACTGTAGTATAATTTTATTATAGTACTTTTTCCTTATTTATGATTTTAATGGAAATTTGAATGTAGGGGCTTTTTAAATGAACAGAATGTTGTGTCTGATTCAGAGGTGATGGTATTGTTCTTTTGATTTTTGCGGGTAACTTTTCTAACTTTCCTGGAAGATGTAACCTCTGGATGGCATAAATAGGCTATTGTGAGCAAGACAGTTAGAAATCATTAGTTTAAGAAGTGTAAAATTCCTGTCCTATCTTAAATATGTATTTTCTTTTTTTCTCACCATTAACGTGAGGATGCAACTTATTAATGGTTTGCTCACCATATGCTGGGCTAAATACAGGACTGGATCAGAAAAGGCTAAAGAGCTTTATCATTCAGTCATTATATATATTATATATATAGTGTGTTAATATAGATATCCTTTGCAAGTTGGCAAGCCACTCCTTCAAGCAACCTTCTAAATAAGCTGTTCTAAGTAGGTTATCGTGTGTTATCATGTTTACATCAGTGGATGGATATTTGTACATGAAATCTTGGGAGGAAAAAAAAAAAACAGCCAAGCTATGTTCTTGGACTATGCTAATGTACAGAACTAAAGTTGTGGTATGGAAATCTAATGTTGGAATCCGTATTCGTGAAGTCATCAAATAGATATTTTAAGGCTGGGAAAGGATTTCCTGAGGTCATTAGCATTCTTTTCATGTGGCATAACAGTACTGTCCAACAGTAATGCAGTAATCCCTCATTGGGAGAACCCTTTAAGGCACATTCTCCAAAACGATGCACTGGACTTTATTTCTGTGAAAACTATTTCTCATTTTCTTCTCACAAAGCAAGGACTTGTAAGGGTATTGCCATTCTGATGAGACCACTCTGGCTCCCCACTTAGCTGAATTGCTCTTTAAACTATTAATTTGGTCAGCAGTGTAATTTAATAATTTTCCATGTGCAGACAACAGAAGCTGAAAATCAGTTTGGTGTGCTGGAACTACTAATCATGCCTCTGAAGGAGAACTCTAATAATGCGTGTGCCTAAACAACTTCAGACCTGCTTTCCTTCTGCATTTTGAAGGAGTATTCCTGACCTGATATTAATGTTTTTTTTTTTTTTACCCTCTTTAATTTCCTTATGTTAAATTTACAAACCTAATTAATACAATTTCTTTCCTGTAGGTTCGCTCCATGATGGCTCAATTAGAGTAGCAGTAGAACTGTGGTTCAATATTCAGGCCAGCTTCATAATTGAAAACACATTTTCTTCTCCAAAGCTGCAGCTGGTTTGGTTCTGCTCATGCAGAAAAGGATATAACCTTGCATAACATAGGAAATGAACGGTTGAGAGAGAAGCCAAATTCAATTTCAGTCAGATATTTTGAGGATAAGTCCATGATCTATGGAAGCAAGGGAATGAAAAGTGTGTGTATGTGGAAAGCAGCGTATTCAGCACTCTATTAATCACGGCTAGCCTGGGTGCTGTTGTGTGCTGTTGCGTTAGCACTGATTCTAGTACAGAGGCTGGAGAGCAGCCAAGCACTCCAGAAGTTAACCTCTTAAAGACCCTGAGCTG